GTTCATAAATTTTAGTTTCTCATCTTGTAGTATAACACTTTTAATTCCTTACATATATCTTCCCCATTCCTTTCTTTCACTTCCCTTTAATTTACTTTTCGATTCCCTATGGGAATTTCTGCCATTGGCAATTTCCTCTTAATCTCCTTTTAGATTCATTCTATGGAAATTTCTACCTGGGGAATTGTTATCTATTCCTCTCTTTCGGAATCTTGCTGAGAAGATTAATCGATCTTAAATTGTTTCAAGTGGTGCAAGCAGCTTCGATTTCATCTACAAAATCAATTCTTGGTCCAATCAATGTCCTAGAGCTCACAATTTATGGAGAAATTAAGTAGAGGAAGGTTTCCTTAGACTAAAATGGATGGTTAACCAAGGTAAATAATATAATTAATTGTAGTGATTATTATGATCCAGAGTTTATAAAAAAAAAAGATGAGAGAGAAAGGTAGAGTGAGAGAGTGGGATTCATGCACCGGACACAGGGCGTGGCATCGTCGGACAGCACTGGGTAGCGAGAAGATCAGTCTCCAAGAGAGAGGTAGGCAGTGGAAAGGGAAGGATACAGGGCACCGTAGCTGGAATGGGAATCGGAATGAACACAGAGGTGGGGGGTATGACAGAGGACAGTGGAAAGGGGGGAACTGGAGTAGGAACAAGCAGTGGGGGTATGACAGAGGGCAGTATAAGCAAGCTACAGCCTTCTTTTTTACAAACATGCCGGAGGATTGGAGCTACACTGAAATGTGGAGAACGTTTGGTAAGTTTGGAAGGGTATTTGATATATATAGCCCGCAAAGAAGAAACAAGAATGGAAGGCGATTTGGTTTTGTCAGGTTCCTTAATGTAAGGAATACCAGGGAGCTTGAGAATCAGCTTGATAAAATAAAGGTGGAGGGGCATAAATTATGGGTAAACCTGGCCAAATACCCAGAGGAGAAAGTTAAAGAGGAGACTGTAAGAAGAATCTTCCCAACAAATGAAATTGTGCCCGGGAAGACATACGCTGAAGCTGTGCGAGGACAAGTAGGTTGTGGAGCTGGAAAAAGCAAAGAGAAGGTACCTGCAATCCCCTTGAAGTCTGAAGAAGGTAAAAACAGAGCCCATGAAAAACAGAAGCAGCCGAAGAGCGGACTAGTTTGGAAACAGAAAAACAGAGGAGAGGTATGGTCAGGACTGGAGTTTAATGTGAAAGAAGAAGAGCTACAGTGGTTGCAAGGAAGCTATGTGGGAGTGGCTCACTCAGTGGAGATTGTACCCAATTTACAAGAGAAGTTCTACATGGAAGGGTACGTCTCATGTAGATTAAGAGCCATGGGGGGAAAATTGGTCCTCATGGACGGTGAGGACAAAGAGGAAATTAAGGATTTAGTGGAGGGAGCCTCAGAGTGGCTTGGGCAATGGTTTTCAGAGGTAAAACCGTGGTCACCTGCAATGGTAGCCAAAGAAAGATTTGTTTGGATGAGGTGCCAAGGAGCTCCTCTACATGCTTGGGGCCCAGAATTCTTTGAAGAGCTGGCATTAGCTTGGGGGAAATGCATTTGCTTGGATGACAGCACAAGCAAAAAGAGAAGGTTTGATGTAGCGAGATTTTTATTATCAACAACAATAATGGATCCAATCTCCGTCCACCGGAAAGTTAAAGTCAATGGGGATATATTTGAGTTGAAGTTCTCAGAGGAGGAATTGTCAAACAGCCTCTTCTCATTGAAGTATGATTTCAGGCCGGCTTTCAATAGCGACTCAGAGTTGGATGAGTCTTGGTCGGGCGCCTCGGAGTATACAGAAGGTTTTGATGAAGATAGCGGGGAAGCTGAAATCGGAGATGGCGCCGGCGAGGATACTCCACGCAGAGTAACAATCCCGAGCAAGGAGAGAGAAAGTAGGTTGGCTGTCACTTCAAACTCAGAGGCAAAATTTGAATTCGAAGGGAAGAGTAATGACGTGGGTTGGTCAGAAAAGAAGGCTAGGCTATCAGATAGCAGAGTAGGGGAGGAGGAGTCCGTTGATGTGGTTGCAGATAGTTTTGAAATGGATATGGAAGAGGATGACGCAGGGGATAGAGCTGATTTGGGATTGGGTGCATCTGGAAGCAAGGAGAAATCTTTCTCAAATTCAAATCCTACAGCAAGTATGGGAAGTTTTGGGCTGGGCATGCAGCCCAATAGTGTCTCATTAGAAGGATATGCTACCAATGGAACTAGGGCTGATGAAGGATTGCCAAAAGAATTTTGGGCCGTTGAAAGAATAAATGGCAGCCCACAATCGGGGATTGAAGTGAGGCCCGAAAAGGGAGCTAAAAAGAAGATGTCACGGGATTCTGCAGAAAAAGGCAAGATTATTCTGGAGAATGGCAGTTCCTGTAGCAGCGAAAGGAGTTCTTTAGAAGGGTGCAGGGAAGAGGACTCGAGCGCAGCTCAGAAAAAGTACAAGAAAAAAAGAAAGAAAAGGAGCAAATCGTGCACTTCGGTTTACCAAAAATCAATTCTTCTTGGATTTATGAAGCAGAAGAAGAAAAGCAGGGGCAGATGTGGGGCGAAACAAACGGATGAAGAAGAAGTGCCGGTGTTCTTGCCAAGCACAAACAACTCAATAGCGGGTGGATCCGTAGGAGATAGTGGTATTCAGAATTGCAATAGACTGCTCAAGGAACTCCCCAACAAGCGGATTGCTACAGACATATGGGAGGTTGCGAAGAAGATTGGGGCTGTGGCAGAGGATGAAGTTTCGGTCATCAAGCAGATTGAGGAGATGGAGAAGAGAGATAGATCGGCAAAGGAGAAAGAAAGCTTAAAAGGGCCGACTAAGGATCAGAAGGTGAGTGTTGCAATTAAATGAATATATTGTCATATAATGTTAGAGGATTGGGGGGCGCGGGGAAGAAGAGAATGGTTAGAGATCTAGTAATTGGAGAAGGTGTGGACTTCCTAGCTATTCAGGAAACTAAGAAGAGCGGAATAGATAGAAAACTCTGTAGGCTGCTGTGGGGGACTGAGGAGTTTGATTGGGTAGCTAAGGATCCGGTAGGTCTTTCGGGCGGTATGGTTTGTGTATGGAACTCTAAAGCACTCAGAGTGTTGAAAGTTTGGGAGGGTGAGAATTTTATCGGGATTCAAGGGAGATTGGTAGCAGAGGATGTTTGTGTTAATATCATTAATATTTACTCTCCATGTCAATTAGCGGGAAAGAGAAGCTTATGGGGGGAATTGAAAGAATTAGTTCTGCAGACAAGAGGGCTATGGTGTCTTGTGGGTGATTTTAACACGATTAAGAGTGTAGAGGAGAAGGTAGGAAGCCAAGCAGTAACTACTGAGATGAGGGAGTTCAACAATTTCATTATGGAAGCTGAACTGGTAGATATACCATTAGCGGGCAGAAAATTCACATGGTATCAACCGAGTGGCAAATTGATGAGTAGAATAGACAGGTTCCTAATGTCCGAAGAGTGGCTGAATAAGTGGGGGGAGGCAACGCAATGGGGTCTAACTAGAACTGTATCTGACCACTGCCCAATCCTCCTTAGACATAAGAAAGTAAATTGGGGACCTAAGCCATTCAGATTCTTTGATACCTGGCTGGAGCAAGAAGGGTGTAGAGAGGTGATAAGAGAAACATGGAGAAGGAAAAAAATTAATGGGTGGGCCGGATTTCGCCTCAAAGAGAAACTCAAATTCACCAAAGAGGCGTTGAAGACATGGAGCAGAAATTTTGTCCCAGAAATAGAAAGAAGAATAAGAGAGGCTACGGCAGAGATCTTACAGCTAGATGTGAAAGGAGAGACAACTCAGCTATCTACGGAAGAGATTGAGAGAAGAAGACAGGCATTCTTGACTCTGTGGGATAGCATCAGACACAAAGAGAGTATGCTGCAACAGAAATCTAGGAAAGTATGGCTAGCAAAGGGAGATGCAAACACGAGATTTTTCCACAATTGTGTGAAGGGGAGATGGAGGAGGAATGAAATGAGCAGCATCCATGTAAAGGGAGTGCAGATTACAGAGGCTGATAAGCTGAAAGAAGAAATTGCCACTTTTTTTGAGGAAATATTCACGGAGGAGAAATGGATGAGGCCATCTATAGAAGGAACCCAATTCAAAAAAATCTCCCCGGCAGATAATGTCTTTCTCACTGCCCCTTTTTCTGAAGAAGAGATTAAGTTAGTTGTTTGGGAATGCGAAAGCTCAAAAGCACCGGGCCCGGATGGCTTCAACTTTAAATTCATCAAGAGCGAATGGGAGACAATCAAAGGGGATGTGATTGAATTTCTCCATGAATTTCAGAAGAATGGCAAGCTGGTGAAGGGTCTAAATACGTCATTCATAGTCCTTGTGCCAAAAGTAGAGAACCCACAGAAAATTGAAGAGTACAGACCAATCTCGCTGATCGGGGGTATATACAAAATCCTTTCAAAATTGCTTGCTAACAGGCTCAAGAAGGTGCTGGTTGGAATAGTTGGTGAACAGCAAATGGCTTTTTTAAATGGTCGGCAATTAATGGATGGGGTTGTAATAGCAAACGAGGTCATTGATGAAGTAAAAAAGAAGAAGAAGGAAGCATTTTTATTGAAGATTGATTTTGAGAAAGCGTATGACAAAGTGAGCTGGAGATTTCTTGATTTTATGTTGCAAAAGATGGGTTTCTCCAATAAGTGGAGAAAATGGATTATGGAGTGCCTAAGTTCAAGTATGGTGTCGGTTTTGGTCAATGGCAGCCCGACCAGACAATTCTCTATGACCAGAGGTCTTCGGCAAGGGGACCCACTATCCCCATTCTTATTTCTGATTATTGCAGAAGGGATTAATGGGCTGGTTGTGAAGGCAGTGGAGAAAGGCCTTCTTGAAGGTGTAGAAGTGGGGAATAAAGGCTTCAAGGTCACACATCTCCAATATGCAGATGACACATTGTTGTTCGGCAAAGCTTCTGAAGATAATGTATGGGCTATGAAGAGCATCCTGAGAACATTCGAGTTGGTTTCGGGGCTGAAGATAAATTTCAACAAAAGTCAGCTAATTGGCATTGGAGCAAAGGAAGAGTGGTTAGAAAAAATGGCATGGGTATTGTGCTGCAAAAAAGGGAGTTTGCCTTTCAAGTATTTGGGGATACCAATTGGGGGGAGGTGTGGTAAGCTCTCATTCTGGAAACCAGTGTTGGAGGGGGTGACCAACAAACTGTCCACATGGAAAGGGAGATATCTATCTCTAGGAGGAAGGATTACTCTCATAAACTCAGTATTGTCCAGTCTATCCGTGTTCTGGATGTCAGTGTACATGATCCCGAAAGGCACGATTCTTTTTATTGATAAAATCCGCAGGAGATTTTTGTGGGGAGGTGTGGAGGGAGGAAAGAAAATAAACTGGGTTAGATGGGACAAGGTTTGTAGGGACAAAGAACAAGGGGGTTTAGGTGTGAAGAATTTAAGGAAGTTTAATTTAGCTTTGCTAGGGAAGTGGTGGGGGAGATTGGTTAACGAGGAAGATGGGCTATGGAAGAAAGTTATTCTGCAGAAATATGGTAGGGAAGGGGAACCAAGATATAATTGGCTGAGGGAAAGTAGCGGGTTTGGGTCAAGATGGTGGAGGGATATCTGTAGGTTGAATGCCATAGATCAGGAGAATGAGGGGTGGTTGGCAAAGGGGCTGAATATTAAAATAGGAGAAGGGGATAGTGTGAAATTCTGGTGGGACGATTGGGGTGGGAGAGGAATATTGGCTAACAAATACCCAAGATTGTACTTAATCTCTGCAGGTAAAGACAATATGGTTTCACAGATGGGTCGGTGGTACAATGGCAGCTGGATATGGGAACTGCAGTGGAGGAGAAGGTTATATAGCTGGGAAGTCCAAGAAGAAGCAGAGATCATGAAGGAAATTCAGGAAACAACAATCATGAAAGGAAGAACTGATGTGTGGGAGTGGGTACATAGCAACAATGGGGCTTACACAACAAAATCTGCTTACAAGGCTCTCAAAATGGAGGTCGAGCAAGAACAACAAGGAGTGAATCTCCAAAAAGTATGGAATGCAATGGTGCCAAGTAAGGTTTCTGCATTTTCATGGCAACTTCTTCAGGATAAAATACCCACTAAGGCAAATCTCTTCAAAAGAGGTATAATTCAAAACTTGGAGGAGTGCAAATGCGAATTCTGTGGGTACCAAATGGAGGAAACCAGCCATATATTCACACAATGTAATGTGGCATACGATTTGTGGAATGCTTGCTTCAGGTGGTGGGGAATTAGATCTGTGCTGGACAGAGAAGGGAGTAAAGTATTCCAACAGCATCCTTCGGCTCTCAAAGTGGCAGAAATAAGAGAGGGCTGGAGATGCATATGGTTAGTAGTAGTGTGGACAGTGTGGTTGGCAAGGAATGATAGCATATTTAAAGAAAAAAGAAGTTGACAAGAGCAGGCTGTTTGAACTGGTTCAGCTAAGATCCTTCAGCTGGATAAAAAGTAGGAAGAAATGCTATCTATTTTCATGGCCTGACTGGGTACAGGACCCGGTATCCTGCTTAAGAGACGCTGAAGCAAGGAAAAGGAAAAACAGAGTGGCAATAACAGAGTAATCAACGTACTCCTTGAGAAAGGAAGCCCGTTTATATCGATGGGCTTATGTCTTACGGGGGAAGTTGTTGCTGGCTAAGCGCATGCCCCCCTGTAAATGGTTTGGAGTACACCCAGTACTCCTATAATGAAAATTATATTTGCTTTTCAAAAAAAAAATTCCTTACATATACGAATTAAAGAAAATAACGCTTATTTAAGGTTAGGATATAACATTCTGTTAGTTAACTGTTAGCGTTCCATTAGCATTTCATTAACGGAACTAAAAAATAAAATTGAATTTACATTTCATGTTTTCTATAATAAAATGTTAACGAATGCTGATAGTCAACTAACATAACTAACAAAACGTTATAACTTGATGTTAAATGAGAGTTATTTTCTTCAATTCGTATAGGTGATGAGTTAAAAGTGTTATAGTATAAGGTAAGGGGGTAAAACCTATAAACTTATTAAGGTAAATGGCTAAAAGTATCATAATATAAGGTGAATGACTAAAACTTACAAATTTATTAAGGTAAAGAACTAAAAGTAGGTTTTTGCCAAAGGTCAATGGCTCACAAAATGAGCAGTACATTGGCCATGTGTTTTTGCTTAATGATCTATATATAGATCCGATCATTAAATAGAATTGTCTATAGAAATAATTCTGTTTCATCAAAGCCTGCAATCTTCATCAATGATTCCATAAATATAGTACTTATGGGATTAATTAAATTATAACTAGTATGCTTAATTAAGTTTCAATATAAACAATTTCTATCCTTTGCCCCTGTATACACAATTCGAATCCTTGTGCATTTTCGTTTCCATTGAACGATCAGCGCAGGGCGTCCCTTTCCCGTAAACCCTAATCATTCAAGGCACTAACTATTCAAGATTTTTTTTCTGATGGATAACTACCATTCAAGATTAGTACATTGCAACTCCAATATATATATATATATATATATGGATATGGATGGTTGCTCCTATCAACCTTTCATGGTCACTTTATGGTTGCTCCTATCAACCTTTCATGGTCACTTTTTTGCGATCATGAGTAGCATGATGAAAAGCAGCTCTTTCTTATTTTTTAAGACATCTAACTGCATAACATGTGACTTAAATTTAAAAGGTTTTATTTCCATTAAAATTAAATTAACTTGCTAACTTACATTTTTGTCATTGTGATTTTTTTAGTGATTTATAAATTACTAAGATACTCATAACATTCGCATGTGTGTGTGTTTTTAGCAAACACTAATTGGTACACCTTTTGGTTTAATACACTACATAATTAATACACTCATGAAAAAATCATCAATATTCAATATGAAATAAAAGGTAGATAAACTTAAAGATGAAATTATGCATATAATATGTAGAAATTGACT